CAGGAACATAGAAACGATATAGTTTGGAGTGGGGAGTTAGCCACCTACGGCCCCCAACCCCTATGGGCCTCTTCTGAAAACATTGTGGCATTTGCTCGTTTTATACCGATATCCACATATCGTACTTATCTCTTGCTGCAACTGTATGACTCAACTAATATCATTACTTATATTACTTTATATTGTCATGCTCATATTATTTTCATAAATAAAATAAGTAAAGGAATAAGTTCTGCAATTTACATTACTTGTAGTGCGTTTGTGTTTGATGTTGAATGGGATGAAGACGTGAGGTGTAATTAGGTTTTTTTTCCTTGGCACTACAGCCCCAGTGGGCCTAGGCCTACCTCCATGAACTTCTCCGTTCACTTCGGTTTTTCTGGATCTTACACATTCGGTAGGACTCCTTTGGCGGGTGATCAGCTCGTCGCAAGGCCTCTACCTGTACACAAACACAGAAAAACGCACACACACAAACTAAACATCCATGCCCTGAGTGGGATTCGAACCCACGATCCCGGCTTCCGAGCGAGCGAAGACAGTGCACACCTTAGACCGCTCGGCTACCGTGACCGGCGTGTAATTAGGTTGGGGACCCCAAAATCCGTGAACTTCTCCCGTGCATCAAGAAACGCCGCTAGAGCAGCGCTGAGACGTGAATAAGAGGATAGCTCAGGCTAAGCGTGTATCACAATGAACGGTAGGACCTTGGCTGAATATAATAATCGGTGCAAAGACATGGTACATCCTACGTCACACGGAGGGCATCCCATTGTATTCCTGAAGATATAAAGAGCCCACGAAAGGAAAACAAATGAAATAGTATATAAGCTGATCTTACTTTCGGGGTTTCAGCGCACACGGCATGTGCGAAACTCGCCTCCCGATCGCTACGGAAACATAGATAAGTCTGAGTGCTGAGAACAGGATGGCGCGGAGAATGTTTGGAAGGAGATGATGAAATAGAAGGATAATGAAATCGACATAAGCAAGAGATTCGTAATTTCTACTTATCACATACTCTTAGGGAAATCAAAGGAAATAGACGAAAGGAAATAGAGGACGCATGGGGGAACACGGTACTTACTAATGGAGCTGAGCCCTTCTTGAGGAGAAGTCAAATCTGCAACCACTCAGAAATTTCCCAGCATTTTATGGAACCCGAAGGTTCATTACCGTGTTCATAAGAGCCCTCCACTGGTCCCTATCCTAAGCCAGATCCATCCAACCCATACCATCCCATCCTATCTCTCTAAGATCCATTTTAATATTGTCCGCCAACCTACGCCTTGGTCTTCCCTGTGTTCTCTTTCCTTCTGGCATTCCCATCAATATCCCATATGCAATCCTCTTCTCCCCCATTCGTGCTACATGCCCTGCCCACCTCATCCACCTTGATTTGACCATTGTAATTATACTTGGAGAAGAGTACAAGTTATGAAGCTCCTCATTATGCAGGGGGGGGGGGAGTATGATACGCATACAAAATTTTATTTGGAATATTTTAACAGAATAAACCTCTTGGGAGACTCTGGCATGAGTGGGAAGACAATACGAGTATTTGGGTTCCAAATTTCTCTCCAACTGTGTGACAATAAGGTTTTCCAAAATACCCTACTCCATTAAATTAATTAATTTATTACTTTCTTTACGTTTGGATGAATCTACTGTCTTATAATAATTCAGAATATTTCTCCTTTGATATGTCTCGTTAAGGTTGTTTCCTTAACTGCATTTACTACCGGACACTTAGTTTCTTTCAATTAACTAAGTAAAAAGTAAGTAAAGTAAGTAAAGGTATCCCTGTAACAGGCCATGAAGGCCCATAGGGTTGTGAGATGTTGAGGCTCCCACATTTTCTAGACAGTCGGCCCACAGATGGAGGTAAGGTTGTCAGCCTTACGCGCCGGCTGCCTTTTACCCAGAAGAACAGTCCAAGAATATTCCTGGCGTTCATTTCTTCTTTCAATTAATTACTCTGAGAAACTTAATTATTGATACCTGGGCCTTGTCATAGCTTAGGTGGTTAGTAGTCGGCTTTTCACCCCGACGTACCAGGTTCATTCCCAGATCAGGTCAAGTGGGATTTGTGTTGGACAAAGTGACACTATAGCAGATTACCTTCAAGTACCACGATATCCCCTGCCAATTCTCATTCCACCAACTCCTCCGTATCTATTAAACTTCCCATAATGAACGCTAAGCTATAATCTCGATACTGAGAATGACCTTAAGTAACTGAGTTAAAAACCTTATTGATACTTTACTGGTATGCAAACGTATCGGTTCGCTTTCAGACATGACGAAACTCCAGTTGATTATGAAGATCAACTTCTCTTCTCAATAACAAAGTGCTTATAACAACACTACAATATGTCACACAAATCACAGTTCAGTGCACCATGTGCATCTTTTTTTCTTTACTTCAAGTATATTTGCACGGTGACAGGCAGAAATTTCTGCTGTATTAGTGACACTCCGAGAATTTCATCCTAAGTAAACAAAGTTAAGAGACAACTTACGGCTAATATAAGTAACTGGAAAGGTAAGCACACAACTTCAGGACGGTGCATCAACTTTGCATTTCCGAACGGCAGTTTAATAACCGGCCACTGAGACCACTCTGTGTTCCATAGCATCATAAACACTTCTGGTCTCAAGCTGATTATGTTGCAACTGACGAAGTTCGTTGTGTTGTACATCCGAGTAGGAGCCGGGATAGCAACTGGCTATGAGCTAGACGGCTGAGCGGTGGGCTCTTGAGCCCACACGGCCTCCTATCTAATGGGTAGCGGCCGAGGAGTGAAGCTGACCACTCACCTCCAACTAGTGCTGAGGTCAAGAATACGTGGATCTATGCAGACATTCCCCCATACATCTTTCTGACGTGGTGCTTAATTCTTTCCCATGAGGTAAAGTGGCCTAGGCGTGAAGCTGACCACTCACCTCCAACTAGTGCTGAAGTCAAGAATACGTGGATCTGTGAAGATATTCCCCCATACATCTTTACGATGTGGTGCTTAATTTTTTCTCATGAGGTAAAGTGGCCGAGGCGTGAAGCTCACCACTCACCTCCAACTAGTGCTGAGGTCAAGAATACGTGGATCTATGCAGACATTCCCCCATACATCTTTCTGACGTGGTGCTTAATTCTTTCCCATGAGGTAAAGTGGCCTAGGCGTGAAGCTGACCACTCACCTCCAACTAGTGCTGAGGTCAAGAATACGTGGATCTATGCAGACATTCCCCCATATATCTTTATCATGTGGTGCTTAATTAGTTAAGCACATGGATAAAACTGTCACGTGTAAGGGGTGTGTGTGACATATACACGGGTTCTGGATTGGATGATTGGATTTACTGAAATCTTATTCAAGCCAATCGCAATTACAGGCCATTACAGCGCTAGTGTCCTCAGTCTGTTACACTCTACACTAGTCGTTTCCTGGCAACAGATTCATAACAATCTCACTGTAACATCTTTTTTTTTTTATTTCTCCAATTTATTATACAATCTATCCAGCTATTTTGGATAATAAGTACTAGTCTGTAACATCTAATCACACATTAAGTTTTCTTTCGACAGTCTAATTCCTTTCTTCCCATTATTCTGCCAATTGCCAAATCTCTCTCAGTTCTATACTGAAACTGCCAACTCGAGAACTCGATTCAGTTATAATTCTGGCTGCATAAGATCCTCGTTATATAGTCTCGGGGCGGCCCCCACAGAAAATACCGCTTCCTCTATTGTTGCGTGTTGATTCACTGCTGCGAAGATATGTTTATTGCACCGTTGTCTAGCAACAAGGGCGGTGCGTACCACAGAAAATGCCGCTCTTCTATAGTTACGTGCATTCGCTTCCGCGTGAATATGTTTACCGAGTCGATGCCTAGCAATGAACGATTCCCGCTTCCTGAAGTCATGTCACTCTACGAGCATAACAGGCCGAGATAAATACATACTTGTATGTCCGAAGAGCCGTTCCGTTTACCAGAGAGATTCTTGAAACTCTTTTTGAACAAGTGAAATTTACGACAGTATTTCGTAAATTCGAGAACCAGTGTACATGAATTTAAATAAAACACGCATAACATGGGATGTCATATAACAAATGTATATATATTTCAACTAGGGGCACGCGGTAGCGTAGTTGGTTGAGGCACTATGCTACAAGCCGGAAGTTTGCGGGTTCAAGTCTCGATGAGATTATTGGATTTTTTCAATTGCTCTAATACTTCAAGTCGCATTATGTCCCTGGGGTCGACTCATCCTCTAATAGAAATGAGTACCAGGAATATTCTTGGAATTATCTTGGGGGTAAAGGGAGGCCGGCGCGTAGGGCTGACAACCTTGCCGCCATCTGTGAGCCGATTGTCTAGAAAATGTGAGAACCTCAATATCTCACGACCCTATGAGCCTCCACGGCCTGTTACAGGGATACTTTCACTTTTTTTACTATATATATATACATTCCAACCAAGGCGAATCATTGTGTGGAGAGGAACGGACTTTTTCATCCAATAGAATATGTTGCTATGTTTATTAGCCAGAGGCTTCTGCATTCTCGCTGGATAGATAAAAACTGGTCTGTGTTGGGAAATGAGTGTAGGTGCAGACTGGAAAATCTGGGTCACAATTGCACATACGTTCAGCATATATATGTATATTAAACACACTTCGATAAACATTGGCTGGAAGAAGAAATAAAATTTACCTACAGCCTTTATCTCTGCAACACGTTTACCAATATGTTAATGCGAATTGCATAATTTATGCCTAAGTTCCATTCCGCTCTCTAATACACAAATATAAATAAAATCTAGAATAAAAAGTATGGAATTTTAACAATATACTAAACACGTGTAAAAATATTCAAAATTTTGCGGCATTTTATACGGCTGAAAATATGTGCACAACATTTATTTGTATTTCTGTCATGTGAATGGTTTCTTGGTAGCGGCAATTCTGTACGTTAATCCCTTGATGACGTATATTGCAGGATCGAAAACCGTGACACTGACATCAAAATGGCGGAGGATGCGGCGGTTATAGTGAGACAGGCGTGCAAACATTACGGCAGCAAGCGAACGGGGAAAGTAATCCTGGATAATCTCAACATGACAGTTCCCAGGGGATGCATGTGAGTATATTCTTTGCTTTTAGTATTGTAGATCCATTCTGTGAAGAAGAAGTGACCTGAAGTAAGACTTCTTGTACTACAAGTCTATTGTTTGCGTTTTCAGCTAATTAACGGGAAGTTATTAAATTTCTTTAAATGGCAGATAATAAAGCTGAAGAGACGTTACTTTCATGAAGCTAATTACTAATTAATACGCTTAATTCATTTTTGGAGAAGTAATTTTGGGCCCTTACATGTAAAGCATATCTTTCGAAATACAAAATGACCAAGAAGTTTTTGTACGAGCTAATCGCTTACTTTCCTTGGTACGAAATGGTTCCTATCGAAAACGACGTGTCCAACAAATCTTCTATTTTTGTGTGTGTAATCATTGTCGCGGTAACGTTTTTACCGAACCCCTGCTAGCAAATGGTAGGGGATACACATACAAACACAAAAACTGATGAAGGGGGGTATTTATGAAGCAGGCCGTTGAAAAGGGCTCAGGTGTCATGATGTACATACCAAGTTTCATAAAGAGTGGTTCAAGCGTTTAAAGTTAATAAGGGGGATACACAGACGCACAAGCCTACTTTATTTTTTCAAAATAAGAAAAGTAGGCTAAAAACTAAAAAAAAAAAAATCTGTTTAAATTTATACACCCGTTAGTTACTTAAATATTTTTTCCTTCTCGATGTAAATAATTCGACGATCATCTGCAACAATGACTCCATTTGAATAATACGAATGCAAAAGCAATAGGTTTCGCTGGTGTACACACTGATCCCATTAAAAATTCCGTGAGGATGGCACTATTAGTAAGGGCCCCAGAATCATGTCCAGCGACCGACTTTGGATTTAGCATTACTGAGCCTTCAGATTTTACAGCCAGAGGCTCATTTGGTTCGTACTGGTTCATAACCAACGACATTTTCACGATTATAGTAAAAAGGTAAAAGTTAAAACTGTCCCTGTAATTAAGTAAGCACCAGCCAAGTATACGTAAAGAGGAGTGGAGGTATAGCTCCACCATTCTTGACCTCATCGTTAGATGGTGAGTGGTCAGCTTCAAGCACCCGCCGCTTTACCCTCGGGGAAACAGGCCCCCGGTACCCGTTTAACAGGAGGCTTGGTGGGCAATAAAGCCGATCTGGACGATGTGGAGAAAAGTCTATTACCTCTGCCGGGAATCGAGGCCGACCATCCAGCCCGTAGCCCGTCACTATACCGACTGAGCTATTCCTTTACGATGATCTCTTTATGATGGTTTGCTAGCCAATAGCCGAACACCAAGCCAGAGGGTTACTTTCTGTCTGCCGTCAGTGAATGTTCAATGAGGTCTTCATGTATATTCAGCCTTCAGCCTTCGGCCTTCAGACTGAAGTTCTCCACCTCCTTCATCAAGCATTAGGCCTCAAGGTCTGCTGCGGCCCCTCGAGTTTTGTCTTGCCGCCTTTTCCCAGACAGTCCACTCTTTCTTGTTCGCTGAAGCTGACAGTCCGCCCTTTGTCTGAGAATTCTATTTTCAGTCATGCCGTGTACGTGGTTTTTTTCCCGTTTCTCTGTATTTGTTGAGGACTGCGTTCAGACTGTACACATGCATCTTGTTCCTAATATCATCATTTTTATTTATAGCTCCTCTTTTTATTCCAGGCATTTCTCTCAAGAATCGCATCTCGGCAGCCTGAAAGTATCCCTGAATGTCATGATTTGTGTTTCACAGACTCGAAAGCCACTCCTTATTGCCGCAGTATTATGAACTTCATCTGAGTATCCAGACTTGTTCTATTTCTAAAGGTTCCTTTTACAATACCATAAACATATAGTAAATCTTTGCATTCTGTGATTTCTTCTTCTTCTTCTTTTTCGAAATATGAGATATAACATCCCTCCAGAATTAAACTTATTTACTTGTTCCATCACGTTATTTTAAAAGATGGAAATTTGATCCTTCAATGCCACAACATTGGCCTTCTCTGTAGATATCTTCAAGTTATGGATATTTGAAATCCTTCTAAATAATATCCAGTCCGTACCTCACAGGAAACATTACGTATCCGCTACAAGCCCGACCGGTTAATACTGTTCAGGGAAACAATAGCTGTTTATTGTGAGAACCATAAGGAGCACACGGACACACTCTGTGGTCAGAATTTTAATGTGTTTAAGAAGGTGGTACGTATAGGAACCATTAGGATTTAAAGAGTTATTTTACGATATAAAATTTTCCTTCTCCATTTCATTGGTATACGCTAGAGCTGATGAATTTTGAAGTGTGTCTAAATGCAGTTTCTGAAGCCGAACATCGTCACAAGCACTCAAATCTAATGCCCTTCTAAGCCTTGATAACAAAACATCTGAGAAAGGCCGTGTCGAATCATTATTGTCCTATAGCTAATTGGTAGAATTATGTAAATTCATTAAACGCTCTTGTCAGGTACAAATGTTTTTTTTCCCCCTTGGCACTACAGCCCCAGTGGGCCTAGGCCTACCTCCATGAACTTCTCCGTTCACTTCGGTTTTTCTTGATCTTGCACATTCGGTAGGACTCCTTGGGCGGGTGATCAACTCGTCGCAAGGCCTCTACCTGTACACAAACACAGAAAAATGCACACACACAAACTAAACATCCATGCCCTGGGTTGGATCCGAACCCACGATCCCGGTTTCGAAGCGAGCGAAGACAGTACATGCCTTAGACCGCTCGGCTACCGTGACCGGCGTAAATGCTTTAGGCCTGAAAATTGCGGTCTTCCGAGTTATGAGACTAGGAGGTTATCAAGGTTTCAGCCCTGAAGACGAAAAGACCAGATACCTCCAATCTACGTTTCCATTATCATACGGATGCTTAAACGGCACGGAAACAAATACAGGTAAGCAATGGCAGATACGGTACGTACACAGTACGGAATCATGCACGGAAAGTGAAGGCAATGGCGATCGCTTCCTTTGCCATCAGAGGCGTACGGTTAATGGAAAGTACAATCTGGAGGTCCCGAGGAAGAAGAAATCATGGCTTCTGCATTAAGACAATACCCTTGGAGTGAAACAGTTCATTCCAGTGCTTGAACACACCGGATTTAGCCCCCTCCTGACTTTTCCCTGTTCCCCAAATTGAAAGCTGCGTTGAAAGGAGATAATTTTCAGTCTGTCTATGAGGTGAAATTGAAAACGGCGAACCTGCTGAACACGGTGTCAGCTGATGACCTGCGGCACGACTTTGAACAATGGAAAATTAGTATGCAGTGATGTATAGATGAGGGGAGGGGGTACGTTGAAGGGGATAGAAATTAATTTGTAAGATTTTGAAAATCAACGCGATTTTTCACAAAAGTCCCGTTATTTAATTGGAGGCGGGGTAGAGCAGTTGGTATAGCGACTGGCTACGGGCTGGGCTACCGAGGGGTCGGAGTTCGAATCCTGGTGGTGGCAAGAACTTTCTCTTTTCCATGTAGTCCAGGCTGGCACTGGGGTTCACCCAACCTCCCATCCAATTAGTACCGGGGGCAGTTTCCCCGGGGGTAAAGCCGCAGGAGCGTGAAACTGACCACTCACCTCCAACTAGTGCCAAGGTCAAGAACATGTGGATCTGTACATTCGCCCCCCATACGCCTTCACGGCGCAGTGCTTAATTAGTTAAGCACAGGGACAACTTTATCTTCTACCCGTTATTTACTGGCCGCACCTCATGCTCCACCGGTTGCCGATCGCAGGAGCAGCGCGGTCTGAAGCATGAACTGTCTTCGCAAGCTCGAACACCTGGATCGTGGGTTCAAATCTCATTCAAGGCATGGGTGTCTGTTTTTGTAAGTTAGTGGCCTTGCGACGGCTGATCCCCCGTCCAAGGAGTCCTACCCACTCTCTACAAGATTAAGAAACTGAAGAGAAACGAAGCGTTTCACGGATGCCCCATGTTCCAAGTGGGAGCATCAGGAATAACAGATAAACTATCAAATTAACCTCTAACTGCAAGATTTCGGGTTCTCGGGGCTGTGAATATGAGGATTAGTTTCTTCTTGGAAGTGGCGCCATGTAGTCTGGAAGATCGTTACAAACGGGTCAGCGGAATCTTTTACCTCCATCTTCAATCTTCTATTACCATGAATCTGCTGGTAGCAGATTCCTCCGATACCAAATCGAACCCCGTGACACTCCGGCACACAGTAAACATCATATCCTCGTAATGGTTCAGGGAAAGCTGGTTAACATTCGCGCTTCGGATAGAAAGTAGATCATACACTATGCATAAGTTGTATGTTGCTAAATCTCCGCTTATCACGAACATTCTCAGCTTTGCGGAACCGAACGGTTCGTCGCCGTGTTCCTGTGCCCTGTACTACTTCGTTCATATGCACACCCTGCTTTATATTTAGATTTCAACTTCCCATCTGCGCCTAGATCTTCCAAGCTGTAATCATCCGTGGTATTTATAGCAAAATTATGTACGCTCTCCTAATTTATTCAAAACCGATATTAACGGCCGTGGGGAACCGTTGCGCTGACCACGTGACACCCTCTATCCTCAAAAGTTGGCACTAACTTCGCCGACAAGCGGCGGTCGCTCGGTCGATATAGTTCGCTTGTGAAGTATAGGCCACGGAGTCCTCATTTATTCATGTGTGGTACATATCTCGTCTAGACTTCATCCACTTTAGCAACGAGGACGCTTCATCGTCGGTCAGTGACGCAAACCTTCACGTTATCAATATCCTATTTTCAACATATGAGTACTTCCATCATTCGGACACACACCAGACGTAATATTACGTAAGGTTGCCTCCACACGGCATGACGTAAACTGGTTCGGTAACACTACCTCACAAACACTTATGGGAGCAAAGGTGGTCCCCATTTCAGTTGTAGACAGAAACGTCCGCGCATGTGGAATTTTATTCATTCATTCATTCATTCATCTGTAATCTGTCAAGACGACAGGTCCACAGTCTCTTCCAAAGCAGTTCCTCCACTTAATGCGATCTAGAGCTTTCTCCTTCAAATGAAAATATCCTCTTCTGTCCTCA